TAAAAGAAAAACCTGGGCACAGAACGTGGTGAATCTTTTCAAAATCTCCCCCAGGCAATTCTTTTTCTAACAACTGTTAGAGATAATGTTTTTATAGCAACATTTCTACAACTAAAAAATTATTTTGGTGAAACCTCCAAAACATATTTTGTACTCAATCACACCATTCAATGAGTTAATTAGTTACCAGGAGTATACTGTACAGTAATTCATTCACAAATAAAAGTATACTGGCAGCTAGAGAGTACCCTAAAGAGATTAAAATCATTGCATACGATGATAAAATGATATATAATGTCTACAATGTATAAAATGACTTTAGCTTAAATACTTGATTCCTGCTATAAGTCATAAAATTAAATTGGCCTACATCATAATCTGTACACCACTTTCAAATGTCCTCATCTTATCAGGTGCAGCCATTTCATCACTGTTTTAGGGGACAGATCCTGGGGTCAGAAATCCGAGTTCAAAACCTGGCTCTTACACTTGCTGAGTGGTCTTACCCATTGTGATTCGTACTTTTCCTCTCTAAAAATGGAATGTTACCATCATCCTCATAGAGAATTAAATTGGGATTATGTTCGAATAGTGAGAAGTAATACTAACCATTAAACCAATAAAATGACAGAGAATTAGAACTAGCAAAGATAACAGAACTTTTATTTTACCTTGCTCTATTTATGGGCAAGGTGTCTGAGATTGAGACTGTAATCATCTCCAGATCATAAAGTCACTTAAGAAGTCAGTGGAGTCAATCTTAGGCAATTTGGCAAAACTAATCAAATAAGCCTTTTGGTTAGTTGTTTAGATGAAAACTATTATCTGATAGATTTGTTGATGGAAATCTCTGTAATGACTGAACCTGCAGTTTCTTCAGTGGTTTTCACTGTTGGAATAACGATAAGAAACTTTACCTTCTATTGCACTGGGTTACTTTTTGAACACAGTAGTCGGACATTCACACTTACTAGAATATATTCTAAAGACAGAGAGTGGCAAAGAAACACTCGCCTTTACTATGTAAGTTTGTTGTTGGTAGTGGTACTGGTCTGATATTTCTGAAACTATTTTGTATGTATTTTAAGACAGAAAATGAGTAAATATATTGATGCTGTGGGGAGCCAGTAAACTCATGGTTTTTTTAAAAAAACATATTTCTTACCCAGAAAGTGGTGATATGTAGGATGTTGGTTTCTAAATTTCATTATCACTAACAAAACAAAACAACCCCCCAAATACCAGTGTTGATTATAGGCCTGATGCAGGAGGTATGTAAGCTGAGCCTATAACACGTCATATCCTAGATAGCAAAGACTGACAGATACACAATTAAAAAGAAACAAGAAAACAATGAAAACGAAAAGGAACACATGCACAACACACACACAGTCCCTTTGCCACAATCTGATTATCGAAAATAAGTGACATAAACTGATTATAACACGCTGAATTTTTAAAAATCTGTGAATCTGTACTTAGAACACTGGTGAAAGGTGGTTACAGAAACTTCCTTAAATTAATACCCCACAGCTTATTAAAAATCACAATTTCAAAAAGGTACCTTTATAATGTAGAGAACTGGCAGATGCCACCTTAACCAAGTGATCATACTTAATTAACATCACCAATACTGGGAAAAACTGTCACCAACATGGCTTTGATACAATGCAATAGGAAGCAGAAAACGTCATGTAGGTGGTAGTTTTACCAAAGATGTTTACCTGACTGCAGTCATGAAAAAACAAGACAAACCCAGAATGAAGAACATTTTATAAAACTAGTTTGGAATCTTCAAAAATGTGATTATAATGAAAGCCGAAAAATAAAAAAAAAACTAAAAAAGACAGCGAGGCATTTAAAATAAAGGAGACTAAAGAGTCATGACAATCCGATGTAATGCATGAGCCTGGATTTAATCCTGAATTGTACCTTGGATTGTGGGGGGGCAGCTTTTATGCTGGGATAATTAGGGAATTCTGATTATTGGCTGTATGGCACATATTTCTGAATCAATGTTAAATTTCTTAGGTGTCATAATGAAGTGACTTAAGAAAATGATCATTTCTTGAAAAGTATATGCTGAAGCATTTCAAAAAATATTTAAAAGGCTTTTCATTACAAATATTTTCAAGACTAAGCTTTGTATTTTAGAATAAGACTTACAGAAAAGTTGCAAAGAGAGTATAGGGAGTTCCTATATTCCTCTCACCCAATTCCTCGAGAATTAACAGCATATATCACCACGGTATATTTGTTAACACCAAGGAATTTAACACTGGTACACTGCTACTAACTAAACTCCAGATTCTATTTGTATTTAACAAGTTTTTTCATTAATGTCCTCTTTCTGTTCCAAGATTCAATCCAGGACAGCACATTGCATTTAGCTGTCATGTCTCCTTAGTCTCCTCTGATCTGTGACACTTTCTCAGTCTTGTTTTTCATGACCTTGACAGTCTTGAAGGGTACCGACCAATTATCCTGTACAATGTCACCAGTCTGGGTTGGGCTGATGTTTTTCACATGATTAGATGGGCTCATGTTGGAGTATAGGGAAATATAGCAGATGGGCTCATATATTAGAAGGGCTCATGTTGGAGTATAGGAAATATAGCAGAGGTAAAGTGGGCCCCTCTCATAACATCATATTAGGAGGTACATGATATCCACATGACATCACTGGGAGTGTTGCTCTTCATCTTTTGTTAAACAGAGTGTCTGCATATTATGTTTTCCCCTCAGGTTACTTAGGTCTATTTCTTTTCTAATCGCCCCTTTCAGGGCCATACCTTTGCAATACAATTGATTTCATTTGTCTCAGTCTATAGTCCCTGCTGGGATCCCCATGATGCCGCTGGCTGATGTGTACACGAGCGAGTGTGTGTTAATACAGTTTGCATACACTGACACACACTCTTTGTAATGTACAGATCTATGGGTTTTGGCAAATCTATGGGTATTGGATATTAGATGCATACTTGTATGCATCTAATATCCAATACCATACAGAATGGTTCCTTTACCCTAAAAGTGCCCTGTGCATCTATTTGTGGCCAACCACTCCCACTTGCTCAATCCTTGGCAAACCCTCAACTGTTCTATTACTATAATTTTCTAGAATGAATGGAATCATATAATATATAGTCTTTTGCATTTGGATATGCAAATACATGGGAAGATACTGGATGATTTAAGGACAGAATGCTGTGATTTGTTTTGAATTTTGACTAGCTCATAGGGCTAAGGTGTGAAGGTCGGATCAGAGGGGGACAAGATGACAAATGGGAAAGTAGTAAACAGATTATTAGGGAAATGATGGTGCCCTGGATGTAGGTAGTAGAGCTGTTGAGATGTGGATGGATTCATGTTTACATAGGGAAAAGCTGACAGAACTTGCAAATAGATTGGGTATAAGGGAAAGGAAAGGATGAACAGGGGGATATCTAGGTCTCTGGCTTAACAACTGCCTCTATAGCTGACTTTATGGGAATACAAATCATAAGTTCTCTTTCAAAAATATCTAGTTTGAGATATCTATTAATATGCAATTGGGAATACCAAGTATGCAGGTTGGATATGCAAATATGAATCTCCATGGGAGAAAAATATTAATACTAAAAATTTGGAAGCATTAGCATACAAATGATATTTATAATCTTGGAATCTATTGAGGTCATTAGTATAGATCAGTTATTCAAGCAGGATTGATTTTGCAAGCTGTCTCCCCACCCAGGGGACATTTGTGATGTCTAGAGACATTTTTGATTCTCTTTCTTCCAGCGGAGGTCAGAGGAAACTATTGACATCTATTAACTAGAGACTAGAGATGTTGGTAAATATCATAAAATACACAGAACAGCACCCAACAATGAAGTAGTACCTTGTTCAAGATGTCAACAGTGCTAAGGCTGGGAAACCCTGGGATAGATAGAAAAGTTGTCATTCGTGTATGAAGGAAGCAAGGGAATATGAGACCTCTCTCAGATACATAATTGTGTAGAATTTATATAACTTATGCATCTAATTTAAAAACCGCCTAACTATAGTATTTGACTGGCAGAGAAATAAACTAAAAATAGCTCAAGAATTGCTCTTAGCATCAGACTTAAAATGGTTGCTATTAAATACTGAAAAATAGTTAAAATATGGAAGTATATAAGGTGAAATTAATGCAGTAACAGTTTAAATGAAAAACCCTGATTCATAAATCCATAAAGATCATAAAGCCCTCCAAGGTTCTTATGTTATTCTATCCATACACCTTTGTTAAATAAAAAAAATGCACAAATATATAAGCATGTGAATGAATTAACAGGATAGCATAGTTCTCTCAGGTATTAACAAATACATGTACCAAGAAAACAGAGGAGGAAATCTGGATTGTGACTGCAGACTCACAATCTCTGGAGTGTGGGTACAGATTTATAAAATCCCTAGAAATGGAAGAATTCCAACAGCATAAAGGGGGTAGAAGAAAATAATTTGAAATGAATAGAAATGCTGACTTCAGTTTTTAAAAAATTCCCAATATATGGAATGAATACACTGCATAAGCAGTCCATTATTACCAGGAAATTTCAAGCAAGATTTCTGAAGGGTTTATTCTCTGGAAGATATCTATGAATGCAGTCTTCAGGTCTGGGGAAGATGAGCTGACATTATAGAAGATAACTTTATAGTCTATCATTGGAACACACCTACTTCCTAAGTATGACTGCTGATAACCTCTCCTATATGCTACAGGAAAAAATAATTTAATGTTAAAAGGAGTAAGAGGAAGACTTTCTCATAGGGAAAATGGAAGAGGTTAGAGAGATAAATGACTTAGGAGCTATTCTATAATTAATCAAATCACAATGAACATAAAGAGCAGATGGCTTCAAATATAAAGATGAGCCTTTTAACCCATGGACAGAAATTACTGGTTACCTTAACTCTGAATCCAAAGAAGTTACAACTGTGCGGCCTTTGGCCACACGGGGCTGACCATAACTCACCCTTCCCAGTTCTTTATCTTCAAGGGCCAGGACCCCCGTGCTTTCTGTGAAGAGTTTTACTTTGACCACAGGCCGAGGATGGGTGGTGGTGAAATCTCCTTGTGTTCCCCATCTGTAACAAAGTAACACAGATTATCTTTAGAATGCAGCATTATTATTCTTTTTTTTCCGAGAGAGATGTGTCTCCATAGAATGTACATTAAGCAATACAGGATCTTTTGTGCTCAATGAGATTTTTATCTTTGCTTTTGTCTCTAACAGATGGCATAGTCAAGAAGGAAAATAACAATAAGCTTTATGGCTTGTAATAGTTACTCAGCTGTTTAAAAAACTAACACGCTGGACTGCAGAATAGAGTGTGTTGTAAGAATGTAGGCTAAGGGAAAGCACTATGGATGCAGCTATTGAAATGTTTTATTTTATTAATTCAAATGTGCATTGTAGCACCATCTTACTGTTAGCTGGGAAAAATTCCTAAGGTTTTTGTTTATGTAACAGAGAGTTTCCCAGAAAACTATTTTTTGCATGCTGAAGACTATCCCATCTCTTTTTGGGAAGTCTTTATCAAACATTTTCTTTGCTTTTTAAAAAATGAGTGTAATTATTTCAGATTTATTACTTTGTATGATTTCTAAAGCTCCTGTCAAAAATAAATAAATATGCGTCATAAAAATATGAGTGTTTTGCAGTTAATTTCCCAGTACATTCTCTTGGGAATGAAAAAAGTCTGTCGACATCTGGCTTTTCAAATCATCTTAACAAAGTAACATGTTTTCTTGGATTATCTTTTAATTAATAGCATCTCATCTTTACCACATATCAATTCATTCTAGCTTATTTACAAACTTAGCTGGCACATATCTGATATTAAAAAATCTTATTAATATTTCTCATAACTCAGAGAACACAGGCAATGAGACAGCACAGCATGAAGAAAATGACATTGAGCAAAATACCACATGCAAGAAAAAAAATATGAGATTTAACAAAAGATACATGTAAAAATATATCACCCAGTAAAAAATACCAATTTTCTTATGTTGTCTTAAAAAAATAATTTACCATTTTCCAGGAAAACTATCTATATAAAACTTATTCAGAAAGCTTGTGACATACAGAAAACTGAGGAAAGCAAATATAATAAAAATTGAACAAAAACTGTGATTATGTTTCCTTCTATCAGAGCATTTATAGTATCACAACACATGTACAGTAAAGCAGAGCCCACTTCAATGACTGAAGAAAACTAGCATTTGGTCAGAGTCTATTCCTTTGAAACTAAAGTCATTCATATGCCAGAGGGAAGGGAAAGATTCATTTAGAAGGAAAAGCAGTTTAATTTCTATTTTAGACTTCTAGAAAGGGGTTAGCAAAAGGTATTTTTCACCATTTTAGAGAATTAAGATGGTCTGATATAAAGCAATGGTAAAACGGGAATAAAAATAAAAATAGATGATTCAGAACCAAAACAAAGGAGTAGAGAAAACTTTTCATTTTAGTGTGTGTAATTTTAAGCCTTGTATACAGTCAGGCAATCTGGTTGACAGCCCTGGAGTAGATTCCATGACACATCCTTGTTGGGTATCCTGTGGTTAAATTTGGAAGATGAGGCCTTGGAGACATTTTTTTATAATTGAAATCAAAGATTTTGGTAGTCATATAAGCATAGTGTACTACTTTACCCCAGAATTTGCTGCTCTTTTAAACTAAATTCTTTTCACAAAACTTCTTTTGTGTATGATATGCATATTTTTTCTCCTTTAATTTCAAAATCCTTTGAAAGTATATATACTGCTTTCTGTGTTCATTTGAAATTCCCAAAGTACTACAATATGATTCCTCAAAGAGAAAAAAATGAGTTTTATCTTTTAACCCAGTGCTTCTATTATCCTACACGAAGGGAAACAGTGTTTCCAGTTCCACCTTGCTAGACAGTATAAGCCAAATAACAAATGCATCTGCAGAAACTGAGCTCACTCATGGTTCCATGAACATCAAGAAAAACTGTCTTCTGGTTGGGTGTAGTGGCTCATGTCTGTAATTCTAGCACTTCAGGAGATAGAGGCAGGAGGATTTCTTGAAGCCAGGAGTTCCAGACCAGCCTGAGTAACATAGTGAGACACCCATCTCTACAAAACATTAAAAAATTAGCCAGCGGTAGTGGTGCATGCCTGTAGTCCCAGCTACTCAGGAGACTGAGATAAGAGGATTACTTTAGTCAAAAGTTTGAGATTTCAGTGAGCTCCACTTATGCCACTGCACTCCAGCCTGGGTGAAAGAGCCAGACCCTGTCTCAAAAAAAAAAATTTTTTTTTTGGTTTTAATCTTTGCTCCTTCATAGACACGTATCTTTAAAACCTATTCTACACTATCACTATAGTACATCTCTTTTACTCATTATTTTTGTGCAATGATATATTTTTTAAAGTGTCCATAAAATTAGGTGCTGTTAAAGATTAAAATGAAAATAAAAACCAACATTCCCACCACTCAGGTTGAGATGGAGAATGTACCAGTACATTAGAAGAGCTCCTTTGTGTTCTGCTTTGGTCTCATCTCCCTCTCCTCCCCTCTGTCACCACTCTGAAATAGCTAGAATCCTCAATTGTGTTTATAATTCTCTTGAATTTCTTCTTAAGGAGAATATTTTTAGTATTTTACCTCTATGTATGATCATTGTTCTAGGTTTTTGGTAGATGGTCTTTAACAAGTAAAAAAATTCCCTTCTTTGTTAGACACACACACATAAATAAATCTGGATAAATGTGTATATATAATGTATCAAAAATATATGCATGATATATGGAGGATCTATATATCATAAATATATCATATAAATGATATATGATGAAGATATATGTATGTGTGTATATGCATTTATGTATATTTGTAGAGAGAGTGATAAAGACAGAATGCATATCCAGAAATGAATGGGTACTCTATTTTATCAAATATTTTCCTACATTTATTGAGATAATCAGTAACTCTGGTAGATTATATAATCTATTTTCTTGCTTTACAGAGATAAACTTATTTTTTTTTAAAAAAACCACATTACTGGAATAAACATATTAATATTTTGTTTAGCCTTTTATATAAACATTCATCATTGAGACTGGCCTGTAGATTTACTTTCTTGTATTTTCCTTGTTTGGTTTTATTTATGCCGGCTTTATTGAATAAGCTGAAAAATGCTACATTTTTATTCTTTGGAAGAGTTTATTAAAAAATATAGAAATTATCCATTCTTAGAACTCACCTATTAAACTCTTTGGACCTGGTATTTCTTTATAAGAAAGAAGATATTTGCTATTGATTCTATTTCTTCATGTGTTATAGTTATAAGACTACTCAGGTTTTCTCTTTCTCCTTGAGCCAATTTTGTTAAGCACTATTTTTCTAGGAATATATTTATTTCATCCAAGGTTTTCAAAAGTATTTGCACAAAGTCATAAATATCCTTTTATCTGTTGAATCCCTACGACATCTGTAGTTCTCCTTTTTCATTTGTAATATTGTTTTTCTTTTTTTCTCCATTTTAAAATTTGATAGAGGTTTGTCTCTTCTATTATTCTTTTTAAACTGCCATCATTTGAGCTTGAGGATCCTCTCTATTACATCTTTATTTTCCATTTCATTACATTCTGGACTTTGTTATTTTATTCTATTTCATCTGTGTTAATCCTGCTGTTTTAAAATTTTAAGTTGAATGTATGTGTCATTAATTTTAAGCCTTTCTTCTGTTCTACATAAGCATTTACAACTGTGAATTTCCTTTAATATTTTAACTAAAGCATCCCATGTATTTATAATGTACTATTTTGTCATTCAGCTATTTACAGGTGTAATTTTAGAATTTCTATATGTATACATTTTCTTATTAAGTGCTTCCTTATTGTATCAGATTAGATAACTTATATAATATTAACCATTTGAAATAACTGAAATTGGCTTTATATTCTAGAGTATGCGTGTATGTGCATTATATAACTTTTCCATAGTGATCAAAAAGAAAATAGTATTCTTTTGGGGTACATTGTTGTGTATATGGCCATAAAGATCAAGCTTGTTAACCATACTGTTCAAACCTTTACAGATTTTTGGTATCCTTTATATTGCAAGGTGGAAGTATTAAAACTTCCTATCGACACTAAGATGTTGTTAATCTCTCTTTATATTTTTCTCAATTTCCAATGTCCTATTTGATGATGTAAAAATGTTCAATAGCAACAATCTATTTAGTATGAACTGTTTATTATCACTGACCATCTCAAGACCATGATTACTTTTTAACCATTAAACTTGTGTAAAATTAGAGAAACAGCCCTACGCTAAGAATGGTGATAAGAGACAGATAAGTTTAGAGAAGCCAGACAAGGGACCTAATCAACGTATTTCAGTATATACCATTATTTATTAGAAAACAAAGAGTTAGTTACAGGAAAACATTAGTAATCTAGAACCAGGAAAGTAATCCAAGATATACATTCCTGAAACTAGTATGTCAATTAAGGCAGGGCCTGATAGGCAATCCACAGGAATACATCTACTGCATGTGAGATCTGGGACTTCTGGGTCAAGGCAAGGAATGCTGATGACCAGTTACTGTGAAATGAAGAAGGCTTAAATAATGTGTTTTCAGGCAAGCTGAAGCTGAGGCACAAGGACAGCAGCAGATTCTAACCGTAAGAGGCCAGAAGACAAGGCTTTTATGGACATTCAACAAAAATGTGCAATTTTAAGGGGGTACATAAATATAAAAATGGTAGCACTTAATAGTTCTTATAAATTCCAACATTCCATGATATAAGCATAAATTGACACCACTTTGATAATTCTTCTGTGAAAAATAAAAGTTAATACAATATATACAGTTAGAAGTTCATTATTAATTCTAGAATGAATGAGTTAAAACCCAAACCCTCATCTCAGCCCCCCCAAAAAAGATGGGGAAGGAGGGAAGATAATAGGCATATCTTTAATAATCACCAACATGCTTCCTTGTTTCCTACTTAATTGGCATGTTTAAACACTTTCAGTAATTAATACCAGTTATTATCTTCCTACTATTTCTCAACATTATGTGATAAAAGAATACATTATCTTACTGTT